TACTACTGCTACTACTGCTACTACTGCTACTACTGCTACTACTGCTACTACTACTACTTCTACTACTGCTGCTACTGCTACTACTACTACTACTACTACTACTACTACTACTCCTGCTACTACTGCTGCTGCTGCTGCTGCTGCGCCAGCTCCTACTGCTCCTGCTGCTCCGACTCGTCCTGTTCCTCCTGCTCCTGCTCCTGCTCCTGCTCCTGCTCCTGCTCCTGCTCCTGCTCCTGCTCCTGCTCCTGCTCCTGCTCCTGCTTGCTGCTGCTACTGCTACTGCTGATGCTGCTGCTGCTACTGCTACTGCTGATGCTGCTGCTGCTCCTGCTACTGCTGCTGCTGCTGCGGCTACCGCCAGCGCTACTGCTGCTGCTGTTGTTACGCTACCGCTACTGCTAGCCAGTCTCAAGCTTATCCCATCACGCTGCAAGCGGACCTCCGTCGGAGCAGTGAATCAGGCCAGCTGCAGCTTCCTCGAGTGCCTGGGAGAAAATTACAGAGAAACCGTAAGAGCGATCCTCAGGCGCTAAGTCTTCCTGTCTGGTGGATTCCGAGACCTGTAGAACTTGCCGCAGGCAAGTGCCTCCATCTCTCTCTTGGTCTTTCGCTGTCGGATCTCAGGATTCGGGGATGTGTGTAATGATCGGAGACTGTAGAGGACTCGAAGGGCCGAGAGTCGGAGTTTAGAAGTTGCATGCAGCAGCAAGCGGGACGGTGGTGGGAGCAGGGTCTGCAGGCGGGACCACGCACGGGAGTCTGGCATTCGTGCCATGCGTCGCCTTCCCAGAAAGGCTCCAAAACCGTTTGGACCATGCGGCTGGTCCGACGGCAGCGGCCACTTCCCAGGGCCTACCATAGCGCCATACCTCCACCCCCAACTGGATTCTAGACATGTTCCCCCTGCTACGATACTCGTTCGCACGGTTCGACGTGCACCATGTTCAAGTGTCGTGATGTGGCAGGAGCACAGTTTTCAGCGCAGCCGCTAGTGGTGCTACTCTATCGCGCACGCGAACTAATTGCTTGAAATCTGCCATAGCTACAACCCAGCACATCAAAGCCTTTGACTCCCCCCCGCATGCATGCAAATTCAGAGGCTTGCAGATCTCTTTCGCGATGCTCGGCTGCTCAAAAATCTTGGTTCTTCGTCTTGGGCGCACGATTTGTTGTCTTGTTGTACCGGGAAACAGCGAGAAGCTTGCTTCCGTCATGCACCAGATCTGCCTAACCTTACAAGCTGAAGCCTTGAACTAAGCTGAGCCGTAATTAAGGGACGGGCACCCTGCAACATAGAGCCTGCACGCAACCCGTGGATGCCCAGGACACGTGCCAAGCTCATGTTCATCGTTGCGAGTTGCTCTCAAAAGCAGCCGATCTGCTGCCCGAGGTCCGTGGGTGCGCTAAGCAGATAGCCTGGAGCGGTGGTCTTTGATTCTTTGCGGAAAGAAGGGAGGGGGCATGCGCTTTCAAGCTTTTTTTCAGACGACGGTGCTCTCCAGCAGAATACCCAGCAATGCCGCAGGACGCCGAAGATGTTGAGCTGCTGATGTCAGCGCTGCGATCATATCGCGCAGGCCGACGGGCAAGACCCAAAGTAGCCCTACACCCTGAGCAAAGCTGTAAACCTGGAAGCCATGCCTGAATGCCTCAAAACAAAAACCGCAACGCGCTCCGAAGCCTTCAAATCTCAAACTTGCAGAGTGCTCCCGAACCCGATGCGAAATTCCCTGATTCGGAAACCCCAACACCAGCACAGCGGCCCTGCTCAGAGGTCCTGCTGAAGGTAGCAAGATGTGGCCGTCTGGCCAGCAGATGCTGCTCGGGAAGAGGCTTCTGCTGCGGCTCTTGCGTTCCTGGGCCAGGGGTTTCAGCCCTCCCCTTAGATTAAGCTTGTCTTTTAATTTATCTCGATCAATGGGGGCTCCAAAGAAGGGCACCCATCCTAACGGACTGAGACAGGAAGGATTCAATAGACCCCTCATGAGCACCTTGCCTTGCTATGCCTGGTAACAGGTAGTCTGTCACAGGGGTCTTGCCTTCGTTTGGGAAGCCTAAACGGCGCCAGCAGCGCATTTCCGGGATCTTTCCCGAAACTCTTTACACTCCCCAAATGCCTAACTTAGTCGTCGTCACGTTAGTTACCGTTAGTTGCTGGTATTCCTAGTCGAATGCCTGAAGAGTTCCAGAAATCGTGCCGGGTTGTGGAGCCTTTTGCGCCTTCGTGGTTGGTGAACTCTTGTGAGCTTCAAGGCCTTTTTAGGATTTAGGTAGGTAGGTCCTTGGTCTTTCTGCAACCTTTGTGTGTTGGGCTCTCGGATTTTGCGCTTCAACAAGAGCTCTAAGCCGAAACTCCAAAGCTCACGAATCCCGAGAGTTTCGGGTCTAGGGGTTCGGGCATTAAACAGAAAGAACCTGAAGCTGAGGCACCGAGAAATTCTGGAAGGAGTGGACAGACAAGGGCGGAGAGAGCCCGACTTTCGTCACCACTTTGCCTCTGGGCTGGAGTGTGTTGGGCAGGCTTAAGCTTGAGGGTATGAAAAAGGATGTATGACTCTCAATTGCGGTCGCGAAGCTTAGGAGGTTCTATGTTGTGCCTGTGTTGATCTTCGATGCACAAATATGTGCTTTGAACTATCACGGCCAAGCACGACTCAAAGTCTGCAACTCGCAATCTTTCAGGTTTGGGAGGCAGCGTTTCGTTCATTTGGTCGAAATGTGAACGATGCTGAAGTTTACAGCGCTTGAAGGCTCGGGCCTTAAGGGCTCAGCCTGTGGTTTAAAAAATAAATGCAGCGTGTAGGGCAAGGCCGGACGTGTACAGTGTACAGGATACCCGTGGCGCGGCTCGTTGGAAAAACTGCTTGTCGTGGCCCCGTACAATCATTCTAAACATAAGTACTTCACACAAAACCGTCAGTAATGAAGACCTGTCAGCTTCAACAAGGCGTCGAGTGAGTTGCACCCAAGTTTGTTGGCCCTGACTCTTCGTTCTCGACATTATACAACCGCCGCACTGTTGCTATAGATGCCATGTTGCGGCAGCGGCTGCGGCGGTCCCAACATGCCATGGATAGAGACACCGTCATGGTAATCGTAAAGTGCCGCGAATAGCAGCGAAAGTTTTATGGTGGCAATGGTAGTGACAGTGATGCTCAGAGCTATAGTGAAACAGATCGTGATACGGACAGTGTCCCAAAAGTGTTAAGTGACGCTGACGCGCTGGGGCAGCGGTGTTCCCGGTGTTCCATCTTCGGAACCAAGCTCTCGGAGATGTGCACACGGAAAGTTCTCGCATGAAGTGTAGCACAAGTGCAGGTGCATCATCTTTCGGCTTTAACCCCTCAAATCTGAGACGCCTCCCGAAATCCAACATCTTTCAAGACGCACTGCAGGCACTCAGGTCCTGAAGCTGTCTCCCATTCCCCAGGCGCCCAAGCGCTTAAAGCCTCGAGCGTCTTACTTCCGAGGCGGAGCCTCAGCTCGGACCTCGCCGCTAAACCTCCGGGAGAGGAGGCTGTGGCTTGAGGGCTTGGAGCCTCAGCCTTAGACTTAGGTATAAGGGTGGGTGCGTCAGCATGCAGTTTCCATGGGCCCGGTGATTGCGACGGTTTCGAGTTTGGGTGTTGCAGTCCTTGCAATTCGACCTCTTTCTTTGAAGCTGCTGCGAACAAGCACAAAGAGTTTTGGTCGAGCTGCTTGTCAGAACTTCACTGAAATGGGCAAGAAGTCGCACCTTCGCCAGGTTCAGATTCGGAGAAGTGTGGAAGATCTGATGCCGGATGAGCAGAAGGCAATGGTGCGGTTGTAGCCGCTTATCGACGATCCGCATACCTGAGTTGCTCCCGTGGTGTACAGGCGCTCCTGCGCGTGATGGACAATCTCAACAGCCCATTCGTGTCTTTGGCAGGCCGAGCTCAGCTCCGCGGCACAAAACCGCTTTTGTCTCCCAATCTTTCGCCTGGAGGCCTTCGACACGAGCGCCTTGGGCGCGCGTCCCGCGGATCCTGCCCGGCACTCTGCAAGCACCCTTCCTGGGATGGAAAGTGCTCTCAAGCTTCCCAGGTCGAGCGGGGCAGGAGGTCTTCACCACCTTTGTCGCCTTGGCCGTGCACTCAGCCAATTTATGCAAGACTCCCAAAGGCGAATCCGACCTGGGGCAGGTCATTGGCAGTGCCTCCATCCTCTTCACATCCTTGACTGGGATTGCAAAGGCCAGCCTGATATGCTCTCCGTCGAATTGGTGCAGCTCCAGAATTCCTAGACAGGTGTGCATGGCGGGCATGCTGGGGGGCGTTGTGTCGGTGCCAGCGCCTCAACCCTCGTATGGTCTGCATGGCTTTTGCTATTCTGGGCACTTGGCTCGCGTTCGGATTCTGTCTTGCAGAGCTTGGATCCGGCCCTTGGACTTTAAGCTCTCCATCCCTTTGTCGTGCAAAAAGCTATGACATCTACGATGCTTGTACGCGATCTGTTCGGCGTCCTGACCCCCACCCGGGAGACGGCATCACTTCTTACAAGTCAGGGTCCAATGGGGAGCCCTGAGCCCTGTGCGTTTGCCGAGGCTGCTGCTCTACTGTTGCTTCCCTGTCGGGGCCCTTGGGCTGTTCTGCTTCTGTTGGGTGGACAAGCCCAAAGCTGCCAGACATGTTTGTCATCCATCTTGTTGTTTCACCTTGCAGCGGCCCCCCGGTGACCTAGTGTGAAGCACTGCCTTTTGAGATGTGTTCGTGTTGTAAGCAGTTGAGCTCTCCTCCTTTATGTTGTTCATGCAGATTACATAGGATTCGGGCCCTTCATTTCCACCCAGCGCTGAGTCATCCTCGCAGACTTCTGAGAAGCCGACAGAAAAGCCTTGGACCTCCGAAAGGCTGTGTTAGGCCTTAGGCTTTAGGGTTCCGAGGTTGGGCTTTAAGTCTTTAGACTAGACCCGATCCACCAGTCACGAACCCAAGCCGCACGCCGCCATTCCAAAAGAGGTCCTGATGATGCTTGGCCTCGGGCCTTCCCGGGTCGTGATGCCAAGCGCAGGGTGCGTGTGTCGTTTACGGCGGGATTGGACTATTTGGACAGGACTTGAGAAGGGTATGGCCTAGCACTCACAGTCTTCATCGACAACTAGTGACTAGTGTTCCCCTATCTTGAAGACAAGATCGGGCACCCTTGCGTCCGAAATGCCGGACACAGCATTATGTGAGAGCTCGTGTCACCCAGGTAAAACAGCGTGCCCTTGCCCTCTTCGCTTGGTGGCTGCTGGCTGGTAGGCCGAGGCAGCGTCCTCGGTTGAGGCTTAGCAGGGCGGTTCAGAGTTTCGAGCCTTTGAAGTTTCGGCTTTGGGTGTAGGCCAGTGTAGGGCGCTTCAGAGATTTGGGGGGTCCGGTTCATGGGAAGTGCTGCTATCGGTCTTGGGGTATGTACGAGTCTGATCCCCTGCCGAGCCTGTGAGTTTGGCAATGTTTGGGTCGCAGAGCTTTCAGTCCAAAATGTTCGAGGCCTTTTTCAATTGTGGCCCTGAGGAGCTTAAGGCTTAAGTGCAGTTGTTGTGTTGTTGGCAGATTCGGTTCATGTCGCGGAAAACCAAGGCCGACACCCGAAAAGATGCCGCCAGGCAGGGTGTTATAAGGACTAGAAGCAGTACCGCCACATCAGCTGATTGGTTCCATCTTTTCTGTTGCGGTACAGGCTGAGGCGGCCGTCCGGTTTGGATTCTCCTTGACCTTGGCAGTTTGAGGTGGTGACTATCAATGCCAACTGGAACTAGCGGCTCGCAGCATCGTGGCGACAACCACAAGCTGTTCCTTTAAGCTGCGTGCTGAACGTCACTTCCAGCGCAAAGCCTGCCGTGTGTACCCTTTTCGGAGAATCTGTCGTCGGTTGTGTCGGTTGGCAAGGCTCCCAGCGGTTTATGCCGAGAAGTTTGTTTCTGTTGCAGAAAGAGAAGTACTGCAGTTTCTCCAAACATACAGCGCCGAGCCCACAGGCATAGTCGGGGCTAGGGGAGTGGAGCTTCCTGGATGTCTGCTTCCATGCCGTCGCCGCGTGATCGGCCGCAAGATCGCCCAGGACTGCAAGTCCAGGGCCTCTTCGGGGCGTCGGGCTGGATTCTGCTAGGCCTCGTCGCATCCTCGTATTCAACCTCGAACTCTACAGCTTCCTATAGAATCCCCCAGAAACCCTTGTTCATCTCCCGATGCGCCGCAGGAATTTGCTGGCCAGTTTGCGCGCAGCTTCGCCGGCAAGGGTTCTTGCGAGGGCTGGGGCTTATAGTGAGTTCAGGGCCACAGGCTGCATTCAGAGCACATGTTGCGGTGGTGTGTAGTGTAGTTGATGCTGAGCAGGGGCCGACAGACGACATGAGAGGTAGTGGTAGTCATGGTGACCGCACCGTCGTTGCCACAGCAGCAGCAGCAGCAGCAGAAGCAGCAGCAGTAGCAGCGGCGGCAGCAGCAGCAGCAGCAGCAGCAGCTGCTTGTGCTTGCGCTGGTGATGTTGATGGTGATGTTTCTTCTCATGTATATTTGTAGTTTGATATGTTGCCTTTTTGGGTGCTCAGTCCACCCTGCTGCCCCGAGGTCTCAGAAGTCAGCACTGGTCCTGGATGCACGGGACCGAAGCCATGGGCCCAGCATGGCAGCAGTTCGGAGCTCTTACCTGTAGAAGGTGCTGAACTGGATTCTAACATAGTTGAGGTCTGGCTGGGTTCAAGTTCTAAGGGTTTGCAGATTGCGGGGGGGGGGGGGGGGGGGGTCAGGTTGTTTAGTTTCATGTTTTTTATGGGATCTGATATGGGAAGGGCTTGACATGAAAGTTCTTTGTCTAGGTCCTGGTGATGGGGCGTATGTTCTTATCCCCATTTAGTTTTGGCAGTGCCGAAGTCCTGTCGTTGGGTGTTTGGAGTCTTGTGATTTTCTTTGCGTCTCTGCCTAGCACGACTCCGTCGTCAAGAGGCGACAAAGACTCACGGCTTCAGCGGGTCTCGGACACTTAGGATCAGTCTTCGCGGTTATGCGTGTGGCTTTGGTTTGGCTCGAAAGTGCGAGTCTGGAGCTGTAATCGTTGTTCGCTTTCGGAGCAGAGGAGGCTGGAACAACCAGGTCTCTGACACTTTAAGTTTTGTCAATTCCGAGCCTTTTCCTCACCTGATGCGCAGAGTCCGCTCCTGAGGCCCTAAAGCTGCTGGAGAGCTTCAGGAGGGCGTGCGGGGCACAGACTCGGCTTTTCGGGTTGCGCTTTCAGGGTTAATTCAGAGTGTAGAGTTCAGGATGGTTCAGGGCTTGGGGTTCAGGGTTTAAGTTTAGGGTTGTCAAGAGCTCTATGGACACCAAGGTGCGGGAGCTTCGAGAAGATTTGGCAGGCATCCACAAGCAGTTCCTCGGCGAACCGAAAGAAGATTCCCATTTCTCGGATCATTAGGTGCCTCGAAGCCTCCGCCTCTGGCACCCGCAGCTTGCCTTTAGGGGTTCAGGGATTGCCAAGTGGCTGCATGTGCGGCTGCATGGCACATGTTTATTGACTGAGTTTTAACTATAGCAACTTACATGGCAGGTGTAGTAGCTTGCGGTTTTCTCTACAGAATCTGTTCTTCATGCATTGATGCCATGGTCTCTTGCTCATGCGTGCTGGTGTGTTGAGCAGGTCCCTCATACTAGGATTTACTTCTGTGTTAGATGCAGCTGAAGATGATGATGGAAATGTCGTCACTGGTTACGGTGCGGGCGGTTGATGGTGGCCAGCATTCAGCAAACGGTGTCGACCTGCCAAGGCCGAGGTCCAAACCCAGGATCCTCCTTCCTGGAGGTCTTTTTAATCGACACAGGCCCGAAGACTCGAGTCTCAGAGCCGCCTCAAGGCTTGCACTCGCCAAAACAGGGAACCCTGAAGCGCGAAAGATTCTGGTTTTCTTGCTTCTTGTCATCTTGCACCCTGCAAACGCTCGCACCAGAGTTCTTGTGCACCCAAACTGCGACTGCCAAGATTTGATCCTGAAGCCACTTGGATTTTCCGTTGCTGCCAGGCTCACTTCTAGCCAGATCCAGTTTTCCAGCAAAGAACCTCAAACCATGTTGTTTGCAATACTGCGACTCTGATATACCCTTCCAAAAGGTGGCCTTGCATTGCGCGGTGAGTCGCGCGTGCGGAACCTCATCCCTGTTATGAACTTTAGTCCTGTCTGAGCCCTCGAAAGGTGATGCCATGTAATGCCCCCCAAGTCTCATGTCTGAGGTTGTCCAGGGTCCTGGACGGTCAGGCCGAGCTTCAGGCCCTTTGGGGCTTCGGCGACTGGAGACTATGACTATCAGTTTTCAGAGCTTGGGGTTGCCGAAAAAGCGAGTCTCAGTGTTACACGGACCGTCGCTTCCTGTCGCTGCAGGCTTCCGTGCGCTCCCCAGGGCCCCCAGGGCCGCCATGCCTGCTTCGTCTTCTCAGGGCGGAAGCAGCGGAAGTATTGGCCTTCTTCCCCCCAGGTGCTGAAGGCTCTGCTGGAGCCTCCTGCGGCTTTCGCGTGGTGCTTAGCTCCAGGGATTCTGAGCCAGGCGATGAAAGGCTGAGAGTTTGTTGTGTGCTTCGGCTGCAGCCAGGCCAACTGGCACCATCACTCAGGCTGGAAGCTTAACAGAGCGCAGTTGCGATTCGGAGCTCGGGAATGTCGGGGGTCGCTTAAGGTTGAACTTAACACCTCGAAGCTGATAGTGTTCAAGGGGTCGAGGAGGCATCCCCACCTGCTGGCAGTCTTGGACGCTAAGCTTTCGGAAGATGGTTTAGTCGAGATTGCGCCAAGCACGGTTGAGTTGGAAAAATAGAGCTGCCAAGCGGTTTAGGACATGGACCTAGAGAGAAAGAAGAAGAGCACACAACCCGTGACACGACGAGGCAACTTATCATTGTGGACATGGCAAGAACACCGATGTGGATATGGATGATAAACTGTTTTCTCTTTTACATGCTGGTTTTATCAACCGAGAGTCATATGCATGAGGTAACTGGTACAGCTCGCAAGCATACTGTTATGGGCCAGTAGCACAACCGGCAGACTGAGACAAAGTGGGATACAATTGCAGTTGCCATGTTGTAAGACGCAGGAGAGTAGTCTATTGTCTCCAGTCTTCGGAGAGTGATCAAGCTTCCTTGGGCGATCACGTACATGATAGCCTCATCATAGCAGCAAGAACATCCAAAATGTTGCAGACGTATTTCCGCAAAAAACTTGGGTCGCAATGGCTCTTCATCCCTTGTGACATGTTGCAGTACTTGCGTCGATGGAGGTTATTCCTGCTGGAATTCCTGTAAAGACGGGCTGCTGGTGGGCACAAGCCTCAAAGCCTCCACTGCCTCCAAAATAACCTCGAACAAAGCGCCCTGAATTTAAGCTTATCTGAGATAATCTGCGGACATCTGCGGGCCCTGTGCCCGAAGCCTTCTATGACCGCTGAGCGCTGAGCGTCCAGGTGGGAATGAAAGCCCCCATGGGCTCAGAGCCAAGGCCAGAAGCGGATTCTCGTTTGGACCAGCGAATCGCAAGGGGCACGCGGATTCGGAGCCGTCCGAATGGTTTAGGTTTCAGAGGTTTTTTCAGGGTTTTGGCTTGGGGTCATGTCTCAAGTCTTGGAGTCTAGGGGTTCAGGGATGGGGCTTGGCAGTGTTGGAAGCGTCGTTGCAGCAAAGGAAGCTCCGCAGGTAGTCGTCTTCGTTGGTTTTCGGTAGATTTGGATGCCTCGGACTTGTAAGTTGACATGTCCGGGACGGTCGCGACCCCAGGCAGGGACAGGCAGTTTTCCATAAACAAGTGACCCTGACCTTGCCAGGGCCGACTTTCGCCAGCAGCCTCACCGGGCGTGCCTTAGCTGTCTGGATGTAATCAGAGAAACTAAGTCTTGATAGTCTGATAGTCGAAGAACTAAGTTCCATTTGCTGATTGCGGTGCCGGCACAGACCCTCCCACGCACTGTGAGACCACGCATGCGAAGCCGTACGTCTTGCTCCTCCTTGTGGGTGGGCCTTTGCAGATGATCTGTCCTCGCACCGCCCTCCTGTGCGCTCGCTTCTGCATAAAGAATGCTCCGACGTTGGATGCAAGCCCGGGATGTCTGAACGCGCGAAATGTACGAGTGGATGGCCGGTTAGGAATGTTGGAAGTGGTGACAGCAATATTTATACCATATCTCAGCAACAGTAGCTGAGTAGCTAGTTTTTTGCCACCATCGCCGACATTGCGGTTATTTCCTTAGGTTCGGACCTTCAGGGTATGCCGTTCTTGCCCATGGGAAAGAGC